GATTTGTATATATTGAGCTAAAATTACACCTATTCTAAAAAACTCGAAGTTAGTATTACTAATAGGACTGTAAGAATAACAGGTTTTGCAACAAAGCATTATGTCTTATTAACTCTTCTCAGCCCACAGGGTTTCTCGTTGCATAGAGACGGATGTTATCCCTATACAACGAAAAACCCCATATGCCGAAAATAACCAGTCGGATCATAAGGGTCGTAGAGAAGTCCGTAACACTTACAATCTAATTTATCATTTTCAGCTCACCAGGTTTCTCGTTAAACAGTAACAGGCGCCACTTTCAAATTCAGATCTATAAGCAGTTAAGTGTGTAAGAAGTATTGTGTTTTCTAATGTGTATCATAATAGGAGCAAGTTTAAATACAGAGTTATTAGTCAGTGTGCAACCACGTGACTATATATGGTACTTCTAGGCTTACAAGATCAAACTTATATACCATTCGCAGTAGCATTTCCCTGCATTTGTAATTAAGAATCAAAACTTTCGCTGCCTTGCTTTTAAATCTTAAAGCAGGCTAGTAATCATATTTAATTAAACGACAGGCATCTACTCTTGCAACTATTTAACAAATACATGTACCATCAGGGAAGATGTCTCAAGCGCCACAGCGCAGAGACTAACAGAATAGCTTAGCCAGAGGTAGAAAAACTGTAAAGCTAGGGTTGACCTTACTCTAAGCCAATTTATTACCAGCCTCGGCGTTACCCTCTTCCTCAGAGTAGGCGACCAGGTAGCGCTCAGTCTTGCCGACCAAACTACGCAGAACGGTTATTTCCTTTAGTTCTTCTAGATAGATTTTCTCAAACTCACTCCATTAATAGTACATTTACCTCTCCGTTAGTGGGAAGTGCATAGGAAAGATGCAAAAGCATAGTCGTGTAGGCAAGAAATAAAGTGGACTTCATATCTGCTGCTAGAACTTATTTCGTGACTCGAGGATGATTTAACGCACTTAGCTAGATCTCTCTTCTAATATGTCCTATATATTTTCTAGATGTACAATTATATATAGTTAATCCCTAGTCTTCCCTTCTTCTTCCTCACCCTACTATTTTCCAAAAGTACAGATTCCACCCGTTCAGACCAGGAAGGACTTCCATGCAGCATCAACTTTAGATGTGTTCACAGAACATAAGATTATCTTTGTCTCTATGCATTTTTCTCAGAACCATAACTCGTGCACACCTTCTAGGCTCTTTTGCACTAGCATATTAGTCCAAGATACAAAGCCACGGGCCGGAGCGTCTATAGTCAGATAGATCAGTATAGGTGGCCATTCTAATCTTTGTACGGAGTTGCCTTTCAAAAGTTTGGGCCCCCCTATCAGTAAGCCATAGGCTACTATACCGAATCCGGCAGTTGCTCCGATTGTACATAGCCTCTGCTCACATACGAAGAGATCGCTTTTCACTACCCAACGCTTTTTATCGAATTTAAGCCTCACAATAAATTACAGTGCTGCAACTCGTGCTCTTATTATTTCTCTTAAAGTAATAGGAAAAGGCAATGGCGAGATAACTAACTTAACGGGTATAGAGAAGCGTACGCTTAATAAAATATATGCCTAGGCAATTAAGCGTGGATTTAACCTAGCTAAACGTCCACTCAACCTTCGAGACGAGCATATACAAGACGCACCTCACTCTAGCCGTCCGTTAAAGCAGACTAAGGACACGACTTCCGCTATAGTGCTTACAGTACGCCATAATCGCTATAGAAGGGAGAAATCGTGCACTAACATTACTAGCATGCTTAGAGAGAAAGGAATTCAAGTCTTAGCTAGCACTATATATCGCATACTTAAGAAGGCTGGGTTTAGAAAGATAAAACCGACAAGGAAGCCTAAGTTAACGAAGTAGATACGGGAGGATTAACTTAGGTAGTGTTTAAAGTATAAAGACTGGACTCTTAAAGACTAGAAGAATATAATTTAGTTAGACGAAACGAGTGTTATATTGCTCTATTAAAGGGGTAGCTATCTTGTGTGGCGTAAAGCTGATGAAGCTTTTGTACGAAGCTGTATTTAGGAGCGTTGGAAAGGCTATTCTAAGTTTATGTTCTAGGCGTGCTTCTCCTACAATAAGAAGGGGCCATGCTATTACTAGATACCTGATACAAAGAAGGATAAGGAAAAGGCTGATAAAGAGATAGAGGAGATCAGTAAGAAGCTTCAGCCGCTAATAAAAGAGCAATAGGAGCTTAATAATAGTATGCGTCGACTTAATCTACGATTAACGCCTAGCCAGAAGCCTTAGTAGCGATGGAATTAGAAGAATAGCAAGCTAGCTCTTAGTAAAGGTTCTAGTATCGATTAGTATTATAACGGGCTGAACGCCCCTTAGATAGCTCCT